GGGCCATAATTCAAATAAAATCCTTAACAGAATTACCTTCTCCTGCCCATGTTTTGGGACCATTGATGGTAAACAAGTATTCCAACTTTCAAATTAATATCTCAAACAGTTCAGTCAAAAAGTGGACTGGTACTAAAAACTTAACCAAGATTCTAAGTTGATAAAAGGCCTTAATTTTAAAACAAATCCTTGACAGAGTTACCTTCTCTTGCGTACAGATGGGGGTAATGATGTGAAATAGCATTAAAAGTTTCAAAGCAATATCTCAAAGGGTTAAGGCAATAAGTGGATTTTACCCATATTCAATGTATTTTCTAAGTCAAAAAGGGGCATAATTCTGTCAAAAACCTTGACAGAGTTATGTCCTCTTGTCTGTTGATGAAGGTCGTGATGGTAAACAAGTATGGTCAGTTTCAAAGCAATACCTCCAATGGTTTTGAAATAAAGTGAGGTGGTACAAAAAACTTAACCAAGCTCAATACACTTTCTAAGTCAAAAAAGGCCATAATTCTGTCAAAAACCTTGACAGAGTTATGTACTCTTGTCTGTAGATGGAGGTTATGATGGTGAACAAGTATGGTAAGTTTCAAAGCCATACTTGTAATACTTCTGAAATAAAGTGGGGTGGTACGAAAAACTTAACCAAGGTGTGACGCCAACGCCGACGCCGACGCCGGGGCGAGTAGGATAGCTCCCCTTTTCATAGAAAAGTCGAGCTAATAACCAGCATATCCTGTGTCATCTGATATGATGGTCTTCACTGTTTGCTTTTCAGTCAGTACATATTTTGAAATTTTCCCTAAAAAGGATCAATGGTTTTGGTTCCAGATTGGAACAAAACAGTTTTAATTTAAGGGCTACAAATTTTACCCGGGGAAATGCCCCTGGGGCCCCCAACCATGAAAATTTAATTTAGAAGGGCCAAAATTTTTATAAAACTTATCAGCCTTGCAAAAATTGGGGGACCCCCAAAAATTATAACCAGAAGGGAACATGGACTAAATTTAAATTCATTAAAAAGGGGAAAAAGGGTTATTTAGTTTTCAGACCTTTTGGGGGAATTTTAAAGTTTTTGGTTTCATAAACAAGAAATTTAAAAAGTTCAAAACAGTTTGCAAAATAAAATGTAACCCCAAAAACCCCTGTTGCTTACTTGGATAACCCCACGGGTGTAAAAAGTTATACTAATAAAAAATTCTGCTACATCACCCAACATAAATATATTCTGAAAATATATAGATCTCTCTTGAGCAATAACCACAAATTATGAACCTGGTAAAAATAGAAACTCTGTATGATGAAATTTGCTAATAGACTCAAATGTCTAACGGAAGCTGTGGCCAACCAGTTTGAAGTTAAATTATGTGAATGTGTGTGATACTCAGATATTAAATTAGGCCATGATTCTTAAATATTACCAACAATTATTTGAAAAGACATCAAGACTCAAAAACCTGTTTAGTTCCGAAATACTTTATTCCACACTGATTCCAAATATCATATACATGTAGGTACATACATGTATTTTATAAATTATATTCTAGGAAGACTAACTTAAATGACATTAGTTTGGTTTAGTTTAGATTAATAATATCTAAATGTATATTTTGTACATGATAAATACACACAATGTTACATCATTAACTTAAGCATAAATACCATGCATATACAAGTTAAGGTTGGACCAAAATTTATATCACCACATCTAGGGTCCTCCCATAAAGCAGGGCTTCCATTAGTGGAAGTTTGGGAGTTATTTACTTCTTAATTTTGTGTTGTGACTTTCAAAATATAATGCTTTTCAAATTTCCTTCTTTACCTATATACCTAAAGTCCTTTACCTTCCAATGTCAGACATTTGGCAGTCTCTGACTTCACTTCCAAATTTTGAAACCTAATGGAAGCCCTGATAATTTTGAAACCTAATGGAAGCCCTGATAATTTTTTTGGAAACCGAAATGGAAGCCCTTTGAATAAAAGGTCTATCTTGTTGGCTTAAGGTTTAACATAATTTAAATTGTAATTTTGGAAATTTTAGAAATTTGTAAATATTTTGCTTATCCAACGTTACAGAGTTTCTTCAGTTAGTAAATTTATGAAACAATAAAAAATTAAAAATTGAATATATTCTATACCATTTCAAAATAATCAAATACCTGACAATAGGTGGGTAATTTATTTATTTTTAAGGCATTTATTGTATCACATGGCAGTTTTCTTAACTGCAAAACTAAATCGAAAATTATGAAAATTTAAGTGCTAAATACCTAATGTCTTCCAGTAAATCCCATTCTTGTTGGTGCTTTGCCTGAAGTTTTGACAGTTGTTCACTGTGCAAGGTTTTTAATTGAGCACTGGGCTTCACCTGAAAAAAATGCGATGAAGACCATGTAATAAACGTGTCATCTATCCAGATATTTGCATTTGAACATTATAAACACAAAATATAATCACACATACCTTTCTAGGTGGTGGTTGCGGCATATTTTGCAATTGTATCCAGAGTAAAATTACATGTAATCCACCATTGACAAATCATAACACGGCTATTCCAATATACACCCTTGATAATTTTTAATGAAATGGTTACTAGTCGGTTCGGGAATCGTAATGCGGCGATCAGTCGCGTCTGTTATACACACCAATGTATTTACTTTACAAAACTAACGTTAACATTGAAATCATTTATATGTGAGACGTAAGAATAACGAAGCACTGTTAATTGAAATATAAGATACCGTTTCTGTATATATTTTACAATACATGTATAATACGTGGCCATCTTCATTATGTACACGTGTTTACAAATGGCTTTAAAATTCTTTATGATATGCTATATATACACCCAATTACTTTAACTATACAATGTGTGCAAAACATGTCAAATATTCATAAACACTGTGAAATGAGCACATAACATGAAAGTTAATCACCTAAAGTATACAGAAATTATACACACTGAAATTAGCATAACACATGAAAATTAATCAAAATTTATCAATTATGTACATAATATATTGTACAGACATGAGTCAAATTTTTAAAATTTTGCAGTGAAATATTTAAATTCGAAACATGCAAAGATCATGGAACAATTACTGGTTTACATCAATTTTCTAAACTGCTGTTTTACCTCCTTAGAAATACTTGAAAATGTGTCACCAGCTTTGAGATATGAAGATTATAAATAATGAACTAATACTACGTACAAGATTCTATTTCAACAGTTTTCACATTTTTTTTACAGTATATCAGAGCTTGGGAGAAGCCTTCCTGGGTCTGTCCAATGTCACTTTGAATGACAAGACCATATGTAGATTATGACAGAATCCAGGGGATTTTTGAAACATTATTTTTATCAAAAAGTACATTTGTACTATCTTGAATTTAAATATAAGTGTATGTTTGGAAACTACAAATATTGCAAAATATGGCGTGTTTACCAGTCTAAAGTATTTGTTTTTAACTGATTGATATCGAAATGATTCTACAACTAAAAACTACGCCAAACATTTCTTTTGTGAGTGCTAGATGTCATATGGTAAGAAATATATGCAAAAACCGGACAGATAGTTGATTAACAATGAAATACGACTTTTGCACAGGACTGGTATAACATGTATTGTCAATTCTATGCTAAATATTTATAATGCAATGCAAAAAAAAATCAATAGTATTTTTGATTGCTCTCGTATTAATTTCTGCATCCTTAACAGCTTTAAGTGAATACACTAGTACCGTTACTTCATACAAGATCTAAATGTCAAGTTGTCCGCATTACAAAGAGGTAATATTTCAACTAATTATTCTCTTTATGGAACTACTAATGTGGTAGTTTCGTCGGCCAAGTATAAGGTGTGGATAAGTCTCTCATAGGAGAGAGGTCAACAAAAAGGAGAACCAAACTCAGGTTTTTATGGCGTATTATGAAAGTCAACTCAGAACCCGTTAAGGCTATGTCAACTAATGTTTGGTCATCCCATAGTCAAATCTAAAATGATTAGATAGTATCTGTCCAAACAAGATCTACACGCTGGGACAAATCTGTGACTTTGGACGCAAATAAAGTGTTACCAAGACGCTTTGTACAGTCACTTAAAATGCTACATCTTCGTTGTATCGACTAGTTTTTCTTATAATGTAAAAAATTACACATCACAAAGCCACCATAGAAGGTTATCTTCTCAGGGAGAGCTCCCTGACATGCCCACTTTGGCTAGCTATATAGGTTAATCTCCAGCCAAGGGAGACCTGCTACCACATTCTTAATGTTTCATTGCTGGAACAGTCTTAAATCCATTAATATTGTTTCATTGCTTACAGACATATTGAGCTCGAGCATTTCTCACCATAACATTGTCATATGCCAGATTGCTGATATTATGTGTACTTTATACAAACCCACAAAAATTCCCACTGTTTATTTTACATGCATAAATACATTGTCATATCATATATGATATTTTGTCTACATCCAATATTATCTTACTTTTTTATTTTTAAGTGACCGGACCGTAAAAAAAAATCTAAAACTACATCCTTTGGATGGCTGGCTTTGGTGGATGCTGACTGGCTTTCTGGCGGACGGACGGGCGGGTGGGCGGACACACGGATTGACAGACAGACACAGACAGACTATTGAAAAGACTTACCCACTCCCAACGTCAATGAAAGATATGACTGTCATGTTCTTTGGTGGATTAGATAATTAGTATAACTCTCTACTGCCAGTCCCACTCGCGAGTGTTATATAGGCAGGGATAGTGCACGTCGGATGTGTTAGCAAATGGTATGAGAGAAAGTATGAACATTATCTGGGCAGTGAGAACTTTGAAAGACTTCAAATCGCTGCTAAAATGTTAAATAATCTACACATCACTCTGCATGCATATACACCTGTACGTAAGGACCATATATAGATACGCAAAATATTGCTCTTTTCGCAATGGATGTTCATTTCGCACTTTTTCAAAGCAAAGAACTTCCGGACAGACGAAAAAACAACAACAACAACATATTAAAAAATGGCCGCTGCTATGGACATTGACGAAGAAGCTCAGGCCGGTGTTTCTGGAGATAGAGCAGGAAAGAAACGATTTGAAGTTAAAAAAGTGACTAAATTTATTTCTCCTACATACTTTCCATTGATTCATATCTTGAATAATTTAAAAAATGTTTTTCTATTCTCGGAATAAGTTTTCGCGATAAATCTATTCTTTTATAAAAAAAAAATATGACTAATATCTTGAAAGATATTGCTTCTTTATCAGGTTTTCGTTAAATAACATCCATTAACTCAATCACTTTTGCATTTTTGATTATTATTAATTTTTCATTTTCAAGAAATGGGAATCCGGAAATGAAATTATATTTCAAATATGCCAGTTTTTGAGAGCAGAATTGATTCAAATGAGTAGCCCTTTATTATGACATTTGTGAAACTTGAATTCTTACTTAATAATTCATTATCTAATATGAATAAGGTAAAACCTCAAAGCGAGCTCTTTGGCAGAAATTATATTATACATTATATTTTGAATCGGGAAATTGTTTAAAATAATCTTTCATTTTGTTTTACATTTCCGTTTTAAAATTGCCATTTGTTATTTTATGCTTTGCTTCTGTTTATTATGGTTCCCTGTCCTATATTGGTTCCTATAAAAGTGCTCTCATGAATTATAATTTTAGCATAACATGTTTAGTGTACATGTAAACCAGATCTTTCTTGAAGGTATTTTGTACCATAAACAAAACGAATAAATTGATGGTGTTCAACCTATCATCGGAGCGCTCGGAATATTCCGAAAAACCTCCGAACGTAAAGGGGACCACTGTGCATGTGTCGGCGTTTGGAAAATCCCGTCCGCCATTTTTGTTAATCTCTAATCACAGTTGTTGTTTTAACGTTATTTTTAATGTGCTAATTTATCAAAAAGGATATGTTAAATTACATTTTTATATGCCCGAAAGAATTTCGGACATATTATGTTATACCCCCTGGCGTCCGTCTGTCCGTCCGTTAGCAATTTGGTTTCTGGAGCATAACTTAAGTTCCATTTGGCCCACAGTATTCAAATTTCATAGGATGATTGCCCATATTGGGTAGAGGACCCCTATTGATTTTGGGGTCACAAGGTCAAAGGTCAAGGTCACTATAACGGTAAAACTGAAAATGGTTTCCGGAGCATAACTTAAGTTCCATTTGGCCCTCAGTTTTCAAACTTCATAGGATGATTGCCCATATTGGGTAGAAGACCCCTATTGATTTTGGGGTCACACGGTCAAAGGTCACTATTACCGTAAAACTGAAAATGGTTTCCGGAGCATAACTTATGCTCCATTTGGCCCATAGTTTTCAATTTTCATAGGATGATTGTCCATATTGGGTAGAAGACCCCTATTGATTTTGGGGTCACAAAGTCAAAGGTAAGGTCACTATTACCCTAAAACTGAAAATAGCTTCAGGAGCATAACTTAAGTTCCATTTGGTCCACAGTATTCAAACTTCATAGGATGATTGTCCATATTGGGTAGAAGACCCCTATTGATTTTGGGGTCACAAGGTCAAAGATCAAGTTTACTATCACCTTTAAACTTGAAACAGTTTTCGCTCAACAATTCAAGCATTAATCAACCTACAGCTAAAGTACTTTTGGGCATATAATGCCCTGCCTAGCGGTGCTCTTGCTCTATTTATAATCGTTACCATAATTCTTATCAATGAAATGCAGGTTTATTTTCTGATTTTGAACGTCATTCTTTCACCGGAAGTGTTACTTAGCATGCTTCTGCTAGCAATAGTCTGAATTATGTAGACGCTCATTAAAAGCGCTCTGATATCTATATTTAGCTCAAAAGGATTTCAAAATGGCGGCGCCAAGTTAACTAAGATTTTTTCACAGCTCATTAGGTATAGGATAATTATATATTTTTTTGAAATTTTCATTTAATTGAATTTGATTTCATTTGAATTGATACGCGTCATACATGTTATCTAAGAGCGCTACAGCCCTCGCGATGCCTTTGGCCCCGCTCGGACTTTCCGCGTATTAAGATGTAAGCGATTTGTGGCACAAAGGTGTAACGAACAATCAAGATTCTTTAATTAAAAGGACGTTTGACAAAATTAATTTTCAAACCTCAAAAATCTTTATCTATTGATATCTTAATTTTAATGCTAACGGAAGATAGAGGGCTTGTTAAATATTGCCTTTGCACTAATGCTCACCATTTGTATATATATAATATGGTATGTGTAAATGGAATCTTGAAGGTAAATAAGTATCAAACTACCTGTTTGTTAAGTAATTGATTGTCATAACCTCCTTATAATTTCAAATTGTATAATGTAATTTAAGTATTATATGCTTTATTTGCCCCAAATATTTTGAAACACATGTTATAATACTGCTTAATGATAAGTTGCACTTCTACGTAAAATACATAGAAAAATGTTGTTTAATAAAGGTCTTAAGGTAAATTTGTATAGCCTTGGAATCTTCCATATCAAGTCAAAACTCGAATCCAGTCTAAGCCTAAATATCTCCCTACTCCAAGGAAAGACTGGTGAAAGGTTCTCCCTTATTACCCCGCTACATGTTTGTACACTTTTATATGTCAACATGAAATATATAGATGGTACTCAGTCACTTTAATCATCAAATACAAAAAGACATAACATTTTTTTTCTTTCATTTCACACCACAAATTGACAAAACCTTAATTTAAAAAAGGTCTTTGTAGATAGAAATATGTTAAAAATGTTTGATATATATACAGTTTATAGAATTCAAATTACTAATTTTGTGGTAAATTGTAACCTATAACTCTTTTTGTCTTTTCAGTGGAATGCTGTAGCCTTGTGGGCATGGGGTAATACAACCTTCTTTATTAAAAGAATATTTTTATTCTACATATTTTAGAATTATTGAGTTAGAATGATTATAAGTTAAACACCTGTTTCTTATGTTGATAAATATTGATAGAAACAGTGAAATATATTTTGTACTTATACTTGTGAGTTGGATCCCATAATTATATGCAGGTATACAAAATTAGTCTTAAATAAATTTCTGTTATAAGTAACTCAGTAATTGCTTATTAGAATAAATTTATAAAATGATAAACAATTTTTTTTTTCAATATTTTTTTTTCAAAATATTTGAAATATGTTTTAATTATACTTATACTTATTTTCAGACATAGTGGTGGATAACTGTGCCATCTGCAGAAATCATATTATGGATCTGTGTAAGTGAATCTTGGATTTTATTATAATTTACCTTAACTTTTCCAACGTGTTTTGGATTTCATGTATTTCTATTTCACTGCAGAGCTGTCAGTCGTTTTTTTTTTGTTTTTGTTTTTGGAATTGTTCATTTTGATTTTGAGACAGTCATTTTTGGTTAACAGAGAGTGTTTGTTAAGTTTTAAGGCAGCCCAAAATACTTTTAAGACAGTCATTTTGGTTTATAGCCATCTTCCTATGACAAGCTTGTACTATTTTGGTCTTATATGTAGATTAATATGTGAAAGCTCAAATTCTGTATTATAATATGATAAAAGAAAGAATTATAAAGACAGTTCACTTCATTCAGCAAAGTTATAATTTTCAAGATATGTGTTATAAGATTATTTATAACCAACTGTTAACATATAGTTTTAATTATGTGTTGTGCCACATATGACATTTTGTACTCAATTTTCTTAAAAGAAATGCAAATTTATGTAAGAGTCCTGTATTTTAAATATAAGATTTTAATTCAAATTTTAGTAGACATGATGCTGTAGAACTCCTAATAAATGCAACCTAAGCTGTAACTTTCTTAACAGGGTCATTAATTACGTAAATTTAACTCAACTGTCAATAGAATAAGTGTTTAATTACATACATGTGCAGCTATGAATTCAGGATTTTTTAATTGTAATTGAATAAATTAGTACAAGGTGGATATTAAAATCGATATATTGATACTTACCACTTATCTATGATATATTTTTATACAGGTATTGAGTGCCAAGCGAATCAAGCTTCAGCAACAAGTGAAGAGTGCACCGTGGCTTGGGGTGTCTGTAATGTAAGCTATTTATATAGTCTATGTTAATTTACTCTGAGAATTAGGACTTAACTTACAGTAGATGAACTGTTAGCTTAATTCAAGCCACTTTTGCTACTACCAGTATCTTTGTTTGAAATTTGTTAGTAACATTTAATTATTTTTATATCAAAAATCCATCCAGCTAGTTAAGGACAGTTGATTGTTCTACAAAAGCAACTGTATGGAATTATGTACATGAGCTCTTCCGCTATGAGTAAAGCTGGAAATTTGTGATATGACATTTAATATTTTTATTTTTCATTCATACTTTATTTGTATGGCATCTTTCTACCCTTAAACATTATCTGGAATATCTATCCTTGTTTACTATCAAGCTTGAGTGTGTAACTTTGTCAAATGTAACCAAAAAAAAAGTCAAATACAAAGAAAAGGCTTTCATATTTTAATGTTTTTAGCCTTTATTTAATTTCTTTTTTAGCTCGACTATTTGATAAGAATAAGTAGAGCTATTGTAGTCACCCGAGCGTCGGCGTAACCACTTATGTTAAAGTTTTTGTAATACCTCAAATATTTTCAAAGTCCATTAACATATGGCTTTGAAACTTTGCACACTTGTTCACCATCATGACCCCAACCTGTAGACAGGAGGAGGTAATTGTATCCAGCATTTTGACAGAATTATGCCCCTTTTTCGACTTAGAATTTACGTTAAAGTTTTTGTAATACCTCAAATATTTTCAAAGTCCTTTGACATATGGCTTTTTCACCATTATAACTCCAACGTGTAGACAGGAGGAGGTAACTGTATCAAGCATTTTGACAGAATAATAATAACGCCCCTTTTTTAACTTAGAATTTACGTTAAAGTTTTTGTAATACCTCAAATATTTTCAAAGTCCATTGACATATGGCTTTGAAACATTGCACACTTATTCACCATCATGACCCCAACCTGTAGACAGGAGGAGGTAACTATATCAAGCATTTGGCAGAATAATGCCCCTTTTTCCACTTAGAATTTACATTTAAGTTTGCATACCAGCTCAGACATTTTCATATTCTATTGACATCTGGCTTTGAAACAAGTTGAAATTTTATACTCTTCTTTGAGAGCATAATAGGACTCTCTTCAAGGCCTATAACTGTGTAACATGGATTTAAAGAAAAAAATTGCCCTTTTGTTAACTTAAATATTTTTACATTATCAAGGCTTTTTTTTACTATCAAGCACTAAGAATAGTCGAGTGTTACTGTGCTACCGACAGCTCTTGTTTATGTTGGACACAAGCTAACTTGTGCATTCTATTCTATTTCAGCACGCATTCCATTTCCATTGTATATCACGTTGGCTGAAGACACGTCAAGTGTGTCCCTTAGATAATAGGGAATGGGAGTTTCAAAAGTAAATATGCTTTATCTTATACCTTGATTATGGTACAATCAGATTTTATTTAAAAAATTGTACAAAGAAAGTAATTTTTTGAGCTTGTCTTTTCAGTACATGTAACGGAATACATAGAGGATATTCAAGATTTTTCTATGAATACAAGATTTATTTTAATCAAGTGGTATGAAAATAAATATTTCATGAGTGGCGGTAGCCATGAGTGAAATATGAAAATTTTGATACCACAAGATGAAAACAAATCCTGTATTTATAGAAAAAACTTGAATTTTCTGCTAATTATATACATTTTTTTTTATTTCTGTCATTACAATTTGAAAGATTTTCACTAATATTTTGTGTATTAGCTGATTTTAGAAAAAAGGTAGTCCAGCAAAATACCAGTGAAAATATGTAAAATATGTTTCACTGCAATGAAAAATAAATTTTTACAGTGAAAATACTGAAAATGAAAATAAGCATTTTATTTCATCAATATAATAAATGTATATATGGATAATTTAATTCATGTTACATAAAACTAAAAAGGAGTGACTAAAATGCCATTTTATATAGATAATTTAATTCACATTAAAGCAATAATTAAAATTATATTTTATATAGATTATTAAAATTATTTTATATAGATAATAAAAATTGACAAGACTGTTTAAAATTCCCGAAATCAAAATTTCCCTAAACTTAAACCAGTAAATTCTTAGGCATATATTGCTTTATATGATAATTTTGTTTATTTTTCTCAACTTTTTTGTGTTTAACACTCTGAAATTTCCAAATTCAAAAGTTGGGTGCCGTTGTGGGATGGGGGAGAAGGATAATACAATTTTTTTATATATTTTCAATGACTTTTACACAGTTTAATAATCTATTTATCTGTATAATTTATAGCCAAAAATTTAATTCTCTTTGATTTATATTTCAGGTATGGTCACTAAGTTTTATTGTGTGTGAGTGTGGAAGAATAAACTTGTCTTTAGTATTTTGTAGTAAAAATTTATCTGCATATGTTTTCATACAAATTTTTGCCATTATTAACACTTCGCAGGAGACTTTTCAATGGATGACATTTCTTTTGGTGTTAATAAAAAATAATTGTTAAGTATTCTTAAAACAAAAATATTTTACTTGATTTTTTTTTGTCTAATGTGTATGTGTTGAAAGTAAAGTATATGTTACATTATTGTAAATTTGAATATTAAATAAAAACTTGCAATATTTGCATAACTTGTGTTGTTGTTTTCTTTAACAAACAGTTTATTTATTTGATTGGAAGTCCATCCGCTAAACAATAAGGAGAGCATCTGATTTGTCATCCAGTGTCGCTGCATAGGTCCTCGGATGATGCTAAATTTGGATCATTTCTTAGAGCTTTGGATGAGATGTCTTGAAAATGGCATTCAAACCACAAAATTGAGTTTTAAGATACATTGACACTATGTAGGTCATATAGCAACTTCTAGCATTGTCGGTGGAGAAAAAATGTTCGGTGTCTCTTGTGCATTATTTCAATATTGTAAGCTACCTTGGTGCTTCCTCGCAAGAAAATTCTCAGTCGTATGTATATTTGTAGGGACATCTGTGGACAAATTGTTAAGGTTGTAACTTGGTGCTTTCTCACAAGATAATTCTCAGTCGTATGTATAGTTGTAGAGACATCTGTGGACAAATAGTTAAGGTTGTTAACTTCAAACCACTTGCCTCTCACTGCTGTAAGTACATGTATGAGCTGCACAAGTGTGTCGGATTCTTCATGTGAGAAAAGTATCTTGCTAGCTTATAGAATGTAGGTTGTTCTACTCAGGTGCCTATTTGTGCCTGCAACTATATACAGAGAGGCACCTAAGGTCATCTTCCGCCAGTAAACCTAGAAGACCTACGTTATGTTGGTGCCACTTAAAACTCCAACCCCCCCCCCCCCCCAAAAAAAAGTTTGGAAGCGCAAATTTTTTAAGTCCTTCATCTTAACCACTCGGTCACAGAGGCAACATTATAATGAAGTATTGTTCTGAAGATGGTTCAACAGGTTTTCAAGGCTCATGTTTAAATTAACACTTTGTTGAGACATATTGATTTCAGACTGGGGAAGATGCTTACTCTATTGTATGTGCACGAGGACAGTGCTAATTGTTCTTCTATGAAGTTGACGTCTGAATAATTTTTGTTTTTCTAATTTGTGTTTAGAAGGTTCAGATATTTCCAAAGGTTATACTGTAAAATTGGTAAGAAAAACATATTTCACAATATCAGAATTGCTTGAAAAATAATTTGTGTGGTGAAACAATTCAGCCAGTTCCTGCGGTATTTGTCTCCTAAGTGCAGTAATTGGTTCCAAGTTGGAACATGTACTCCAAAGATATTTTCAAAAAATTTTCTTGAAAATATTTTAGTTGTCAATTTCAAACATTTTATGTAACAGTTTTTCTGCTTGACCTTTGACATGTTTGAAGGTCTAATATACAGGTGTATGCCTACAAGGTCACAGTGCTTTAAATACTTACTAGTCAAGTCTTACAGTGTTGCCTGGTGTCTTGCTCATTTTCATGCTGTAATTTCTCTTTCATTTCAATGAAAATAATACGAACAAATGTAAGTTGCCAATACCTGATACCTCAGTAATGTACAGCACAGGCATTGAAAATTAAAATATTTCTATAGGAGCATGTTTCTGGACCTTTAACAACTCTTGAAAGACAAAATAAGTGATTATTTTGATCAAATATTTAAGAAAATAATCCTTGACTTAACTGAGTAACCTTGAAATAACTGAGTTTGCATGACTAAGACACCTTTAAAATAATTGAGACAGATGTGAATGAGACACTGCCTTGACTTATACACCTAGACATGACTGAACCACATTGACGTGACTGAACCACATTGACATAATTGAACCACATTGACGTGACTGAACCACATTGACATAATTAAACCACATTGACGTTACTGAACCACATTGACGTGACTAAACCACATTGACGTGACTGAACCACATTAACGTGACAGAACCACATTGACGTGACTGAACCACATTGACGTGACTGAACCACATTGACATAATTAAACCACATTGACGTTACTGAACCACATTGACGTGACTGAACCACATTAACGTGACTGAACCACATTGATGTGACAGAACGTCATTAACGTGACTGAACCACATTGATGTGACTGAGACACCTTGACATGACTGGACCACATTGACGTGACTGAACCACATCGACGTGACTGAGACACCTTGACATGACTGGACCACATTGACATGACTGAACCACATTGACGTGACTGAACCACATTAACATAATTTAACCACATTGACATTACTGAACCACATTGACGTGACTGAACCATATTGACGTGACTGAGACACCTTGACACGACTGAACCACATTGACATGACTGAACCACATTGACGTGACTGAACCACATTGACGTGACTGAACCACATTAATGTGACTGAACCACATTGACGTGACTGAACCACATTGACGTGACTGAACCACATTGACATAATTAAACCACTTTGACGTTTACTGAACCACATTGACGTGACTGAACCACATTAACGTGATTGAACCACATCGACGTGACTGAGACACCTTGACATGACTGGACCACATTGACGTGACTGAACCACATTGACGTGACTGAACCACATTAACATAATTTAACCACATTGACATTACTGAACCACATTGACGTGACTGAACCACATTGACGTGACTGAGACACCTTGACACGACTGAACCACATTGACATGACTGAACCACATTGACGTGACTGAGACACCTTGACACGACTGAGACACATTGACATGACTGTGGCATCTTGACACGACTAAGACACCTAAACATGACTGAAACACAACTAAGAGTTCTAAAAGTATGCAAACACTTGACTACGGAGGCTAATCTTTAAGTCAAATAAAGATCTTGAATATATATCAAAATTAAAACAAAGAAGAGAACTTTTCACAAAACTTACATCATTTATTCAATTATGTTTACAATCAAAACACATTGATAGAATTTTCAAAATTTAACAAACACTAAGATTATGATATGTCATGACATGAAAACATTTAATTTTTGAGCATTAGTAAATTACTATTTAAAGTTCAACAATTATAAATATATGAATATAGCTAACCTTTGTCTATACATTGAGTTAATTTCAAATGATCACTTCACTATCAATATCAGTCTATTAGATGACTTTCTCATTGAGTAAAAATTCTTATCCTGATTTATCCATGAGGGGTACAGAAATGGGGATTAGGGGTCATGACCTCCCTCTGCCATTTGGCTAGTACATGTATGTGGAACCCACTGAGATTTGGATATCAACCAAAAATTATATGTTAAGCAAAAATTATGCAAAAACTAGTGAAATCGGCAATATCTGGGCTCTTGAAAACTACTAAAATGTCAACCTCCTTTGAAATTTGTGTTACCCCATTTCAAAATCAAAATTTTACGATCCACTCTGGTAAAAAATTCATGGATCCATGACTGATTTATCAAGCAATAAAGACTTCAACCTCCACCAACCCAACAAAAATCACAGAGTAATTATAGATTCATGACATAATCTACCCATAAAGTGAAAGTTTTTCCTCAGAAAATTCCTAAAATGACAACCCCTTTGGTATTTGTGTTACTCCATGTCAAAATTAATTTTACTACCCTACTCTGATAAAAATCATAGTGAAATAGACTACAAACTAAAGAAAAACCCAGAAAAAACAAGAACAAAAAACATTGGGAAATGATAGTTCTAAACATATAGTGAAAATTTTTCCTCTATTTCCAAAACATGTAAGAATTTTGTAACAATTATGGTTCATCATGATACATGAATATTTTCATTTTGCACATACCAATACCAATTAATGTTAGGTTATTATTTTTTTTCCATTATTTTCCCAAAGTGCTTTACAAGTTTACAGTAATTGATGTGTAGCATCTAAAGATTGGTTCATTTTGCATTGATGAATTGTAATTATATTGTGTACAAAAATGCATCAAATATGTCAAACATGACATCAAACACCTTAATTAATTAATTAATTACTTAATTAATTAATTAATCCATTAATTAATTAATTTATTATTTTAATCAATCAATCAATAAAATACTTAAACAATCAATCAATCAATTAATTAATTTATTATATTAATATATTATATTAATTAATCAATCAATAAAATACTTAAACAATTGCTAAGCTCAAAATTTGTGACAAATTTTTGTAGTTCAGAGAGGTTTCAGTCTTAAAAAACCAGCAAAATTTTGACTATCTTTTGGTAGTTTAGGAGGTTACAGTCTCCCCAAAACAAAATTAAACTCACAAAAGAAAAATGTGCAGACTGGATGGAATTTATGCACACAGCCATGAGTGTAGAATGGAATAAAATTTAACTTGAAGAATAAAAGAGCAACTAGTAAAAAAATATCACTAAAATAATGCTTTAAAATTATGTCATTGCTTAATAGCTTTTGCTTAGCAATATACTTTTATTACAATTGAGCCCAACAACAAAAGTTAATATTATTTTAAGTTATAACAGTGGAAATAAAAATTCTTTCAAATAAAGATATATTAGTGCAGAAAATATGATTATGTCTTGTCGGTAGCAAGGAACATATGACAACTAATAATGATACAAAATCATAAAAAATATATGTATATATAATTATTATACATGTTTAAAAAATAATGCCAATCCTAAACATTGTATAATAATTACAGACTTAATATTTTATTAAAGAAGTCATCTTAATATAATATTTTCATTTATAAAAAGTTGATAAAGTTTTCTTTTGGCCAATAGGTCTATTACATGTTTTATAAAAAGGTCCATTTATTAGTCAGTGCATAACTACAAAACTGGCATTAAATTACAAAACAACAAAGACATTTTAATAACTCGCCATTTAAATAAAAATTTAGCAAAACAGAATAAGGACTGGGATTGTGACTGTGTATGGAATGTCAGGGGAGGTAAAAGTGATTTCTTGTGGATTTGTATGGAATGTCCCGGAAGGTAAATGAGTGACTACTTCTGGATGTGAATGGAAAGTCCCAGGTGGAAAAAGAGTGGTTTCTTTTGAATATATATGGAATTTCCTAGGAGGTAAATTAATGGTTTCTTGTAAATGTATATGAATGCATTGGGAGATAAATGAAAGGGTTCTTGTGAATGTGTATGGAATTTCCCGGGAGGTAAATGAGTGGTTTCTTGTGGATGTGTATGGAATTTCCCGGGAGGTAAATGAGTGGTTTCTTGTGGATGTGTATGGAATGTCCCGAGAGGTAAATGAGTGGTTTCTTGTGGATGTGTATGGAATGTCCCGGGAGGTAAATTAATGGTTTCTTGTGGATGTGTATGGAATGTCCCGGGAGGTAAATTAATGGTTTCTTGTGGATGTGTATGGAATGTCCCGAGAGGTAAATAAATGGTTTCTTGTGTATGTATATGAAATGTCCCGGGAGGTAAATGAGTGAAAAGTTGTGATTATGTACAGAATGTCAGGGTAGAATTTTTTTTTGTGTGTCTGTGAATGGAATGTTAGGGGAGGTAACTCAAAACACAATTTGGGACTAGTTTTCATCTGAGTTCATGTTAAGCAATGTTATTTTTTATATAAAATAAAAGTTTTAATAATAAAAACTAAGGATTTTCCCATTTTCAGAAAAAAGCTGCATTTGTAAAACATGAGTTAAAAGTAAAGAGGTCCATCTAATAACAGTGCTGGAATTATGAACATTTTACACCTTCTAAAATGATCCTTAAAGAAATCAATGCAAACACTTAACTAATTAAAGATTAGGTAGTTATTATATTACTATACAAATTACAAGAACTTGGTGCAAAAGAGTTGTAACTCATATTAAATAAAGAAGGAATTACGACCCTTTCACACCAAGCTGTCAAACTAATTTCTTTAAATGTATTTCTTTAAAATACATATAAGTACATAACAAACAGTGTTCTGAAGTAAAGTTCAGAACATTTGGGATTGTCAGAGAAAGAATGCTTTGAAAATTTCAATGATTGACATGAAACAAAACTAGTGACATCATCATATGAAAACATAAAAGTCCTGTAATAAAACTGTAAGCCACAATAGGTAATAAATAAAACACAATGTCAAGCTGCCTCCTGAATACACAATAATGAAAATTTATAATTACAATACTTTTAGGCCACATACAGAACAGGCTACAAACATAAAAGTTTCTTCAAAATTTCACAAAAACAACAAAAAATACAATGTATGTCAAAAAATCTTTATATAAAATACAGTGTTATTATTTACTTGACATATGTTTAGTATTTTCCAAACTTTAGCAAGTGTCTTTGGGAGCAAATGTCCCTGATTTGAAACAAATACGATATAATCTTACCTTTAACCTGCCTAATATTACAATATAAACACGCCAGTTTCTTGAAATATCATATTGTTCATGTTATGAAGTGCTGATATCATAACAAAATAAAACTTTGTGACAAAAGTAATGCTGATACATTTGTATATGAATGTAATGCAGGATTTTTTATTATATTTTTTTTAAAGAAAAAAGACATAGTGTGACACTCCTTGCATTATTTCAGGCATCTGAATGGAACTTCCGACTTTCTGTAAGATAACTTGATAGCTTCCTAACAAAATGTTCCTGTCCCAGGCAGGATTCTAAACTACAGTGATAAATGTCTGAAAAGTTGTTTGTAGTAGAAATTTCACAATTCGGTGACAGATGGCCCTTAATACAGGAACAAAAATGGTTGACAAATAGTTGAAATGGGATTATATGAAAATCATAAGTGCACATTTCATGTTACATAATGTATATGGATTTGATTAACTACAGTGTTGGAGCAGTACCTATAGACGCTTGCAGAAATCATGATCATAAAGTAGAAAAATATCAATTTTTCTCTCCGGTTCTTACATTTTTTATTCATTATCATATATAAATCAATACAGACAGATGAACTGGACATCTTAGAGTGCAGTTTGGCGGGTGAAAAGGAGAGATTTTAGTCATTTAATCGCCTTGTCCAGTATAAACCGGAATATAGAATTTAGTAAGCTTCTCAAACTTTTTTTTTTTAAGTCTCACTCCATTTAAATTGTAAATAATTAAATACACGGTTGTTTATTTGGTACCTGATGTTTTAAATCATTGGCTGAATTTCGGAAAAGAATAATTTCAAAAATACTTGTAAGAAATCAATAATTATGTTTGCATATAGGGAATGGCACATGCACAAAATCGTTGCTAAAGGTTTAAAAACCCTACTTATAATAGTGCCATAATGTTTTGTTCCTGAAGATTTTATTCTGTTTCAAAACAATACAATATTCACTAGTCTTAAATATGTTAATAATCTGTCAAGAATCCACCATAATATTACGGAAACAAAATAAGTTTACATTTTATAAAAAAAATATTTCATTAGATATAGCTTTATACCCTTAAACATTGAAAAAAATAATATTTTATGTGGGTAATAAATATATCACACATAACATAACCTTTAATCACAATTTATTAATTCTCTCAAAACATAACATTCAATAACACTAAATAATATGACACTAATATTGAAAAATATTTATATTACAATTCATTACTTCTCTCAAAACTTAACATTCAATAACACTATAAATAATATGACACTAATATTGAGAAGTATTATACCATTTGGCAACAATAGTAACAATCATTGTACACCTTTAGTATTTATTCCCTCTCTTTTTTTCACAAGTTTAAACCAACAAAAATTACTGGTAATATTCATGAGAAAAAAAATCCCATCAAGCTTTCTGATAACGAGACTTTAGGACATAAACTAAAATTGTATCAAATTGACTAAATGGTCTTATGTATGGCACCCAACAATACTATTGCTTTTCATTTTCTAAAAATAATAATCAAGTATTCATTTTTGATTTTTAATCGAAGAAAAATATCCATCTAGTTAAAGAAAGTCCACTAAGGTCAAAAGGCCTAAAAATATAAAATTATAAAATAAAATTTACATATATCAAGTCAACCATTTAAAATGAAAAAAATAAATAAATAAATAAAAATAATGCAAATGATGATAAAATAAATGTAATCAGAATTGAATTAAATCATTTTTGTGTGTACAATTTTGGCCCGATTTGAGTGAAAATAGTTGTAAAGCTTTACACTTTTGGGTCATTTTGCACAATAAAAATGATGACTCTGCAAAAAAGGGGAGAGGGAATGATCTGAAAATTAACACACAAGTTATTGGTCTAGACCTGCATCAAATGATTCATACATCTTTAAACAAAGTTTCTAGTTCTATCATAATTCCTTTCAAATGCAATTTACTTCTAATGTACAACAAATAACATGGCAATTATCAACTATTGGTCAATCACCATTTTAACAATCTTTTGAAATATATAGTCAATTCAAATCAATTTGCTCATGAAAAATTGAGCAGAATGTCACTGTAAAATTTATCAAATTCATTTCCTTTTTTGTTTAATAAAATAATATTTAAAAAAACAAACAAACAAAAACAACTTATAGCAGAGATAGGTGATGTGATCTTTTGCAATACATGTAAAAAATCATCAAGTCATAGTTACATCTGACAAGTAATTTTAATCATGAAGATTTTCTTTTCTATTTCACCTTATGCAGACTTATACTTTTATAAATTAATGTAAATGTGATGTGACAGATGAAAAGATGCCAGTAAAAAGGTACATAGTACATTTAACATTTTCTGTGAAACACATTTTTTCTCCAACAAGAAATAAACATCTCCTGTAAGAAGTCATAATATTAGTGGGTCATACCATGACAAAACCAATAAAATGCATTTTCAACCAACATGGATCTAGACCAGCCTGCGCATCTGTACAGTCTGATTAAGATCCATGCTTTTTCCTATAAAATAGGGTTAGTAAGCGAATAGCATGGATTTTGATCAGACTGCATGGATGCGCAAGCTAGTCTAAATCTGCACTATGTTGGTTTTGTAATGACACGGCTCATTTATTTTGGAGGGAAAAAATAATGCTTATAACATGTACTATAGATACACTAAACTGTTGACATTATGATTGAAATAAAAAATTTACAACTTATCTTATGATGTGCATCAAATAAGGCATAAAATATAATATTCCTTGTTTCCCCTCCCGCTACCTATCCACAACAATCGTAACTACCCAAAATTTTTTTATTTCACATGGATGCAAAGTTTCTTCATGAGAATAGCATCATTACAATTGACTCATAATTTTGCATGGTAGATAATTAAACAAACTGGGATAAATTATATTGGTATCTTTACACTTGCCCAAAGATGTCTTCCCTGTTTGTCAAGGGGGGCAACTTTCTGGGGCTGCAACTTATCCAAACAGGCATGGGTCATGGGAGGGGAAACAAACAATAATTATTTTATTTTAGATGTTAGATTTTTTTGGCACAACATCTCATTGATGTATTCCTAGTGTCAAAAATACACTACTGTCAAAGGAATAGTGACAGTTATCAACAAAGTGTGATATCTGCAAATTTATGTATATATCTGACATAAGATAGCACATATCTACTGGTATACAAAATAAATATCTGATAATGAACATAAATATATTTGACGATATTGATGATTATCAATTTAATGATTTTACATCTGCTGTTTAAGTATTTCATGTTCTAATTCTCCCAACAGCTGACCTTGAACAACCACTTGATTCTGCAATATAAGACAAGTTCATTTTAATACAAAATTAAAGTTGACATCAACGAGTCAGTGGTGCAAATTTATATTATTAGTAAAAAAGATTTTTGATATATTTTATATACAACCAATCATAATTCATGTCAAGTCAAATAATTTATTGGCAAAAAAACATATACATGTTCATCCCCAAGTAATATTTTGGCAGTACAATACAAATTACAGAAAAGTATGATACGTACATTATAAATTATACATAATTATACATATGTTTCAATAACCAATAGCCATATAACCGGTCAAGAATACTTGTAATGAATTTAATATACAGCATTGCAACTTCCTGTATAAATTGACAGCAGCCATGAATATAATTTGAGCCATGCCATGACAAAACCAACATGATGGGTTTGCGACCAGCATGGATCCAGACCAGCCTGATCAGGATCCATACTGTTCACTTACAAACCCTATAACAAGTAGAGAAACTGATAGCGAACAGCATGGATTCTGATCAGACTGCACGTTGGTTTTGTCGTGACACGGCTCATTTATATAATCCTCACAATTATCCAATGAAAAGCGACATTACAAAAGAGCAGTATAATAATAAATATTACCTCAGCCTCTGTAATTTTCTCAATGAGAGAATCATGAACTTGTTTCTGTCTGGGATTAAGAATCACGTTATTCAAGCTCTTCTGCAACTGATCTTTTAAGATCTCTAGAGTTATTTTCTGACTATCCATAGTCTGTTTCAACATAGCGTGTTTCATAACAAGTTGACTGGTGAATCGGCCATGCACACTAGACTTAACCTGTAATAGAAAATTTAATAAACATGTATCATAATGAAATTCTCCACCATAAACCTTACTTCACTTTACAGTAAATCAGCAATGTATACTGTCTGACTCTAATCCTAACTAGTTATAACATTTAGCAATAAAGCAAAAGCCACTTTGGTACATTTTTGGGATATGAGAAGAGCATAATTCTGTCAAACAACTAACAGAGACATGACACTTTAGACTGGACACAGACAGTTGCATCGTGATGTTGTTTTGAGTGCCAAGTTTCAATTAAACATCTTTACTGGTTCCTATAATCATGTTGCAATATTTGAAAAATAAATATAAATCAAGTTCCAGGTACATGTTTTCTTGGAACATGGTTCCTGTTGAAATGATGGAAGTTTATCAATACTTACTCTGACACACTCCGAGCTGTCTGCTGACGAACTGGCTGGTCCTGATGAATCCACTGTGGGTGATTGAACTCCTGAAATAATGTTATAATATTTGTCATCTGTGAAAACTCAAACCTAATTCTTTAAATTTTGTCAAGTTTTTAATGCCGATAACACATGTTTGGTTATATCTCCGCAGTCAGTTTACCTAACACACTTTCCTGGATAACTAACCAGTTATAACCAAGTTCTTCACAAGTGACCAACAACAAATCTAAGTGGTGAGAGACAAGTGACTCAGTCTCAATGTTAGAGATCAATTATCACAGAGAAATTCCTGGTACCAGGGACAGTTGGATTACAAATGTGATGCTGCCATATTAACCCTTCACCTCATAAAGAAGTGTTTTGATGGTGCCAAGTTGATATAGGGCCAAGTTGACTCTTTACCTTTTCATAGCAGCTTGAACTTGTTACAGGAGGCTTTTCAATGAAAACGGCCACACATTTTTCACAATATGCTCATGCAGTAACGGGTTAAGCTAAGCAGATAGACTTAAATTAGAGTATATGAATGACATCTGCTTTATTAAGATGAAGTAATTTTCAGAGAAAATTATTATAATGTTGCAACCAAGATTCAGACAGACACATCCAGGGTGATCTTTATATGATAATGAGCTAACCAATTTTTGCTCAGGGTTACAGGGTTTTTGGCACAGTTTATTACAATATTAGAAATTAATACATATATGTTTAGGGGATTGTTAAAAACTGCCAGTAGAAATATAAGGCTTCTATTTCTTTACTTTCCTAGAAAAAGTGTAGGTATATGGCCTATAGGAAGCCATGCGCCTAATATCTAATACATTTATACACCTACTCAAATAATAAAATTCACTCCCGATTCTAGAAATCTAATAATCAAAATACATGTACTGCATTTCTTATCTTATATTCAAACCTGCCAAAGTGATTTAAAAGTTGCTTGAAATTGATAGAAATTATATTTATTATTTTTTCAAAATATGATTATTTCAAATTCTTATACTATGCATTTAAAGATGATAGAATGTGTCATGTAAGTTTACACAAATGCTCAGTTTTAATCATTCTTTCTTAGGTTTCTTTCTTAAAAAAAAAAATAAAAGGAAAAAATCCAGTATTTATTACTGTTTTTCACTAAGAAATAAGCCTCTTTAAGCCATGAAGTAAAGAAAGAAAACCATTGCTATAGTTACCTGCAGTATGTCCTGCTGCAGCATGACCTTGACTGTCTAAACTCTCTCTAGATATTGTAAATGAACCTTCAAGAGATGCTCCTTTCACATTTGCTACATCAGCAAAACTTCTGTCTTTATTCCTTACACTTTTCTCAATCTTAGAACAAACTTTCTCTTTATTTGTATTTCCTTTCAGAATTCCTTTTAGTATTGGATTTGTCTCTTGATCTGACACGTGCCAAGACGTGTTTATACCACAAGATGTGTTTTCGACAATTTTATCGTCGCTAAGGAGATCCCTCAGCCCTGGAGATCTATATTTAGGAGAGTCTGCTTCGTCTTCTGTGACACTTAAACTTGAAGTTTCCGAGCCAGTATTTGTTGAATTCAATGACTCGAACCCATTTGAGTCACTATCCATATAATCGTAAGACCGTTTCTCAGCAAACACTGACTGATTGTCATTTGAGCAACTTTCCTTGGGCACATACATATCAGGGAAACGCTCAGAATACTTGTCATATATTTCGTTCAAGTTTTTCCCACTTTTCCTTGTTATTTGGAGTAATTTATCATCGGATAAAGAAATCTGACTCTGATTTCTGACACAGTCCACAGTGACTTCTGCTTCAATATCCTTGTCTGCTGTTTCTGCACTCTTCTTTTTCTGTGCCTCCTGTGACTGAATGAATTCCTGAGTTATCCTGATCTGAGCGTCCAAAAGATATTTTCCTTCTTCGTTGCTAGAAAGAAAATTTTGATAATGAGCTTTCCAATGTATGTTTACTCAAAAGATATTTTCCTTCTTCATTGGTAGAAAGAAATTTAAACAATGAGCTTTCCAAAGGATGTTTACTCACTGAACAATAAAATAACACAAAATTTAACAAGAGCTGTCAGTAGGACAGCATGCTGGACTGACTATTCTTATTGCTTGATAGTAATAGAGCCTTGATAATGTGAATTTTTTAAGTTAACAAAACAGGCCAATTTTTTCTTTAAATCAATGGTACAGTCAAAGGCCTTGGAGAGAGTCCTATTATGTTCTAAAAGAAGTGTATTTAAACTTGTTTTAAAGCCAGATATCAATGGAATATGAAAATATCTTAGGTGGTACGCAAATTTTAACAAAATTCTCAAATTATAACAAAAAATCTAAGTTGAAAAAGGGGCATAATTCTATCAAAATGCTTCATACAGTTAACCCCTCTTGTCTGCAGGTTGGGGTCATGATGGTGAATAAGTGTGCAAAGTTTCAAAGCCACGTGTCGATAGACTTTGAAGATATTTTACTTTACTTTAAAGTAAATCCAGGTTGAAAAAGGGGCATACTTCTTTGAAAATGCTTGATAGAGTTACTTCCTCCTGTCTACAGGTTGGGATCCTGATGGTTGACAAGTTTGCAAAGTTTCAAGCCATATCCTAATGGACTTTGAGAATATTTGAGATATTACAAAAACCTTAACATAAGTGGTTACTGCGACGCTGACGCTCAGGTTACTATTATAGCTATACTTATTCTTTAAAATAGTTGAGCTAAAAATGTTTATAAAATTCACATACATGTATATGTATTGATAAACACCCAATTGCAGTGCTAATTACTATAAATATTCTATTTCAGAGATGGTCTTACATTACCAACTGTATTACATAATCAACAGTCTTACATAACGAAATGTACATGACTACAATCTTAACAAGAGGTTGCCATGGTAGTGACAGTCCTCAAACTACTAGCCCTTTACAATGGATCCTGCTCTGAACACAAAAAGATGCCATCCTGTTAGCTAACTTGGTTCATACAGAGTTGGTTCATTTTAGTTTGATTGTGTAGGAGGCTATAAGCTTACAAACACATTTTCAAATCCTTTCCTGGAACCAACCAGTACTGAGCAATGAGTGTAGAGTTTCTTGCTGAAGGAAACAACCACTTGCCAGTGACGGGGTTTGAGCCCATGCGGCTAGCAATCATTAAATATCTAGTCCCTCGTGTTAACCACTTGGCCATGTCTTTGTCCATGACTTTGTTAGCTTACTTGTCGAAGATTATACCTATTGAGTATTCATCCAAGTATATATTTATTTTGTTGGATCTTTAAGTCACATTTACACAAATTAGGTCACATATGACTTTCCAGCTTTACCAGTGGACTTAAACCTCACAGTCCCTATGTAAATCAATTCACAAGCTGACACCATAGTAGAACCATAAACAACCTGTGAACTACCTGGATAGCTTCCTGACATTAAAGAATTCCTTGTCCCTAGCAAGACTCGCACCTACTCAGGAAGGTTCCAACTGGATGCATCTAGAGCTTGAAACAACCAGTATAGAAGCTAAAATGTACTCTGACCTATCAAAAATCAGGTAAACAGCCTCAATCAAACCGAGTCAGCAATTTTCATGTAATTTTGTTGTGATTAATGCTTCAAAGATATCATTTTGTTTCCAGATTTTTTTATGCCCCGGTCACATATTCACGGATAATGCCACGTAAGAGCTACGGTCCAATAGTTCACGGATTACTACGGAAATGTGAAATTTCGTAGTCCGCTACGGTTCCAGTACGGACACACAACGGTATGAGTACGGAGTCCGACGGATTTACCACCAAAAGCCCCCAAAGAGACACACGGATTGTAAGGGACCAACACGGTTTGATACGGAGCGACACGAATCAGGACGGACGCACTACGGATACACTACGGTCTGCTACGGTATAAGCACGGGTTAGTACGAATAAGTACGGTCTGATACGGAGAAAAAGGTTTTGATACCGAGAAGAACGAATTGCCACGGATCTATACGGACCTAATACATCCGTCCACAACCTCTTGCTTGCTCATTTTCAAAATGCCTCAAAAGAAAAGTACACCTAGAAAGCGAATTGCAGAGTTCAATGATTTTGGCGGAGAGGACTCGGCCTAATCCCGTCCGACCCCCGAGACACATCAGGTCCGATTTAAATGAATTTCTTGAAGGACGCTGGATCCTCAACAAGTTCGGCCATGAGAGCCTCATACTAAAATTGAAGCGGTCTTCGTAAAAGCCCATCTCTAGTCCACCACCTCGTCTGTCTTCTCTTACCTGATTAGATATGGACTAGTAATCATTAATGAAAAATGTTGATCAATACTGCTTCTCTTTTAATTTAAGATTTGCTGTTCATCTTACATTAATTACATCAATTATCGTGATGTTTTTGTTTTAAAAAATATGTAAAAAACTTGTTGATTAATCTTATTATCACTCAAGGACCAGCCTCCGAGGCTTATGAGACACTTCGTTTTATGTACATATTTACTCCAATTTCACGATTCAATGTTTGTAAAATATGTAACATTAAATGTTATTCTATTACTTACGAATTGTAGTACAATATTAATATAAATTTACTTCTATGTATGTCATCAAGCAGCTCGACCACTGCCTCGGCATTCTGAGCCATTTCAATATAAAGTTGCAGCCAGTAAATGGCAATTATCATTTATTAAATGTCTCCGCAAATATGTCTGTTTTTAACAAGAAGGTAGTATTTATACCTTGAAAAAGTACATGATACTTAATTCATCCGTACTAAACAGTGGTGGACCGTACCATTCCGTACCGTTTCGTGTAACAACGCAATAAACCGTATAAGACCGTGCTAATCCTTATCTCTCCGTAGTGAAACGTATAACGATCGTGGCTTTCCGGGACAATGCTGTATTAATCCGTATTAAAACTGTAGCTTATACATAGGGTAACCGTAGCATATACGTAGGGTAACCGTACAAATACGTAGTTCTCCGTACAAAACCGTGGAAATCCTTGAGAAGTTGGTTGACTACGAATCAGTACGGACTAGTACGGTTTTCGTACGGACCAGTACGTATCAGTACGGATTAATACGGACTAGTAGGGATACGCTACGGTTGATTTTTCCGTAGCAAATTTTTGTGCATGTTCAAAAATTGTCAAGGATCGCTATGGATATACAAGGACTACTACGATTGATTACAGTTACAATACGGAGAGCTAATGACCAGTACGGGTAGCTACGAACGATGCCGGACTTAATCCGTGACTCTTCCGTGGGCGTATTCCGTGAATATGTGACCGGGGTATTAGTTCTTATACACAGACAGACTTACCTCAATAATGTATTCACACTACATATACATTTAGGCTTTTTGGTCCATTGATCATTGACGATAATAGACTGTGACTTGACATACATTAACAAGCCAAACATGTTTTTTAATCTGTATACAGTCGATGGAATCTCATGCTTTTTCATAACTGAAAACAAAGAGAAGTTTATAACTAAAACTGCACTTAAAAACTTTTAGTTATTGAAAAATTTTCATTTTTGAATGTTTTATAAAATTATACAACATATTCAGTTACAAAGTATTTTCTAAAATATGAAAAGTACAATTTCCATACTGCTATGTTTATATACAATCTAGAGTATAAATTAAA